TGATCTAGTCATCTCGCCTTCCGAGAAAACTCTCCCGGCACGACTTAACATGGACATTATCAAACAACTCCAGACCAAAGTTGCCTCATCGATTTTCACTCCTCGCGCTGTGTACGACGGAAGAAAAAATATGTTCGCTGTTCGAGAATTACCTTTTGGAGAAACCCATACTTGTGAAGCAAGTCTTGTTATTTCACAATTTATATGACTTTATTCATGGGTTTATTTGTCCCCAGTTTGAGGTCAGCTTGACTGAAGGCCGATCAGAGGGCTCTCGAGCACCTAAAGTCTATAAAGTACGACTAAACAAGGTAGCCGAGATCAATCCCGAGTGAGATTCAATGAAATGTTTCTTTGATCGATTTCCTGATTATCTTACCCTTTCCTCCAGAGTGCTCAAACGCTTCATCTACGGCGAACAATCGCACGACAACAATGTGCTAACCGCCATCACAGTAGGTCTTCCAAGTTATGATATTGAATCACACCCACATGTTTCCCAAATAGGCTCTCAACGTGGTTATCCGTATGGAACCTACTATGAAATATCCCTTCAACGTTAGGTCCTTTTTCACCGACCGAGAAACTAAAGATATAGGCGGGGGGATTCAACTCTGGCGAGGTTATTTCCAGTCGGTTAGGCCTGGAATACGGCAAATGCTCATCAACATCGATATATCAACGGCGACCATGTACAGAGGCGGACCTCTTATTCGACTTTGCCTCGAATTTTTACGAAAGGATCACCCCAACAACTTGGTGAAGGGAGCTCTTCATGACCGCGATTTTCTTCGTCTGCAAAGGTTCATTTCTGGTATCAGAGTTATTACAGCACAGCCAGGGGAAGGCGGACAAGTGTCACAAACTCCTCGAGTTATCAAGAGATTGACTCGTATTGGGGCCAGAGATGAAATGTTCAATCTCCGTGAAGGCGGTTCGATGTCCGTGGCGGATTACTTCAAGAAAAGTCACAATCGCACGTTGCAATACCCGGACGTTTTCTGCGCCGAGGTATAACATTAATTCTCTCCCAAAAAATCAATATGCTCACTGTTCCCAGGTTGGCTCGGGTGCCAAAATCCCACTGGAGCTTTGTACTGTTCCTACTGGCCAGATCATGCGTAAACAGATACCTCCTGAGAAGACCAAAGATGTTCTTGAGTTTGCGACGAAACGACCAAGGGAACGCCTCGAAAGCATCAAAAATGGATTGACGGTGCCAATCATTCAATACGCTGTGTATGACAGAACTTATACCATCATCTTTCGCAGGTCTTGGCTTACTCGCAGTCTGATTACGTGCGCCAGTTCGGAATGAACGTTGAAACGTCAGGACCTTTGAAAGTTCAGGCAAGGGTTTTGAAACCCCCGACATTGCGGTACGGTGTCGGGAGTAAACAGCCTACCATTGTTTGTGACTCTGTTTTCTTTCTGTACAAGCGCCGATTTGTTTTCGTCTAGGTACCTAGCAATGGGTCTTGGAACATGTGGGTCCTCAATAATATTCGCAATCCGTTCCACTCATATGTTTTCAAAGGGTGGACAAACGCTTCTACAAACCCACCAATCCCATCAGCCGGTGGGTTCTAGCCATCTTCGAAAGTCAGCAGCGATTCCCAGCAGCTCTTGCAACCGAAGTGATGAGAGGTTTCGTCGAAGGTTGCAAGGAAGTTGGTTAGTGGTTTTGTAACTCGTAAGGCTCTCATAACCTGTTTGACATCATTGACAGGAATCAAAATTGAGCCAACCAGGGTCGTGAGATACGGTACGGGGCACACCAAAATCCGGGAGTTCTTGAAGAACGCTGGGATGGAGTGCGTCAGGGACATGCAGGGCCCGCCGCAGCTTTATGTAGTCATCCTTCCAGAAGGCGGCAATGAAATTTACACCGAAGTGAAATAGTGCGTAATTGACATAAATGTCTGATCATTATCTCATTGGGATAGAAATATAGCTTTGGCGACGTAGAGGTAATAAATATCGATGTCACTCCGTGTTAACGACCCTGACAATATGTTCCAGATGGGTGTCCCTACTCAATGTATGAAAAGCATCAAATGTGCCAAAGCCAAATCGCAATATTATGCGAACGTCAGCCTGAAGTTAGCGACGCGCTCTTTTGTCTGATGTGTAATGATTGACACACCCATATAGGGTCAACGTCAAGATGGGTGGTATCAATACCGTACCCGACCCCTCTTCCGTTTCGGTCCTTACGGACCCGCATATGCCAACTATTGTGATGGGTGCATAGTTCCCTCCCTCATTCTACTACTTTCGCCTGACGCCGTGCACAGGTGCTGATGTTATACATCCCGCCCCGGGGTCAGATGGGCGCCCCTCTTTCACTGCGCTAGTCGGAAACGTCGACTCTGATACCGCCAAATATATTGCAGGTCAGTGGCCATCGATAGTATTAGCAACAGTCATGGTATTCACTATCTCTAGATTCGAGGGTTCAAACCTCCAGACAGGAGATGATCGCTGATCTCTACGACATGAGCACAGTGCGTTCTCAATACATCTCTCTTGTTTTATGTCTAAAACCCATTATGTAGCACATTTTGGGCATGTATATCCGGTATAGGGCAAATGTCGAGCGGAAACAGGGCATCACCTCTAACCCTAAGCGCATCATATTCTATCGCGGTAGGCGTCATCAACGGTGTTCAAGCGGTTCTATTTGATGTAATGGCCTGTGCAGATGGTGTCTCTGAAGGACAATTCAAGCAGGTCTTGGAACAGGAGTTGCCTTTGCTCAAAAGTTTGATCCCAAGTCCGCTATTTTTTTATTTACCCCATTGATGGCACTTGCGATATAGAGGCATGCGCGGATTTGAACATCGATCCCAAGATAACTATCATTGTTGTTGGAAAGCGTCACCACGTCAGGTACAATATTTCAAGTTATCGAGGGACGAGAAGTCGCTGATATGATATGTTAGATTCTTCCCGCAATCGGAGCGCGATGCAGATAGGAGTGGCAATTGTCCCGCTGGCACGGTGGTCGATCGTGAAATCGCCCACCCTACCGAATTTGATTTCTATCTCCAAAGTCACGGTGGACTTTTAGGCACCAGTCGCCCTGCGCATTATTCGGTGCGTTCACCCTGGAAGTATACTTAATCCTAACATCGCTGACCTAAGCACCTCAGGTTCTTTACGATGTGACATAAATCTTGTTTTCAATAAGTCCAAGTATTTGCTGATAAACATTATCTTTGAATTCTTATAGGAAAACAAGTTCTCGTGAGTGTCTACTTGTCTTCTAACGAACCCACAAATTTATGTGTCTTCCTTGATAGCGCCGACGCTCTTCAATCGTTGTCGTTTGCCTTGTGCCACGTCTACGCGCGTTCGACTCGTTCGGTGTCTATCCCGGCACCTGTCTATTGTCAGTGTACAGACTGCTGGGTCCCATTTCAAAATATTCATATTCTGGTTGCAGATGCGGATATAGTCTGCTCGCGCGCGAAGAATCATTTCGATCCAAGTGATCAATGGGATTTGATTGGATCCGAGGACACTGCCTCTGTGGACACCAGCAAAGCAAAGGATTCACTCGATAAATTCCAACGAGGCTTCAAGCCGCTCCACAACACCCAGAAAACATTGATGTACTTCTCTGTAAGCCCTCAAAAGTTAATGGATACCACATATTGGAAACTAATGGCAATTTGCATTCAGTGAACCACGCCATATAGACTCAAAGATATCTCAGATACCCGCAAATTTTGAACACGCCAGCCGATTTGTGCGAAAACATGTACAATTGGATATGTTACTGTACAAACATTGTAACACGCACAACACAGACTGCGATGTGTAATTATAACATGTATTGAATAAAGCTTTGGACTGCTCATCTTGCGATATGGAAATAGTATCATACGTATCTGGTGGTAGTTAATCTACTTGCGCGAAAGACTTTTGGGCTCTTGGTTCAGCCACCAATAACCAGCGTTGAGATAGGTAGCAAATCCCAGCCAAGCACAGTATGGCAGAAGGAAATACGTCGCTTTAGCATTCGTGGGGCGATCAAGCAGTTTCTATCCAAAATTATTTATTCGGAAGAGCCTGTATCTTCAATAAAGGGCTTACCGTCATGTACCAGGTGGTTCCAGTCAACAAGACGCTGTCAATCAAGGCAAGTCCCATCTAGTGATCATCCTGATTTTAGAAAGACAGGTCAGTGGCGGGATATATGTAACATACTTGTTGCTGATTGAAAAACAGTGGACTCCATAGATAATTCAACCCAAGTTGCCCATAATAAAGTGCGATTCCAAGAGACAAGTCATTTCTAAACAGTATGAAAGCGTCTTTACATGACGGTGATACAAGACGAGATATAGCTTCATACCTGTTGCCCTCCAGCACAGTGGAATCTAGCGCCTTGACTGCAATGTGGGAGGCGTAGCCCATCGCCAAATATAAAATGGTCCATGCAAAGGGGAAGACCTCTCGACGGGGCCGACCGGGCGGCGCGTTGAGATTCTGCATACATGGTGAACATCATTGCTGCAGTGCAGATAGGGGTCATTTTTTACGGGCGCTTACATGGTACCAGTTACTGGTGGACACTTTGGATGTCTGAGAACCGCTGATAAATCCTAAGGCGAGGGGGATTCCAACGGCGGTGATTGGGTTGCGTGGAATTGCGAGGAGGATGTTTGGGATGTGGATAGACATGACTGCTTTTCGATCCTTGCCCCCTCGTATTCGATTCTTGTACCAAAATCGGTGTGACGTCATCCATTACATACTTACGTTCACATCAAATGTTTGTACGTTGTGAAGCGAAGGTCGACTTGAAGATTGTACGTTTCTATTATCCACTTGTCAAGTCCCGAATCTCGACTGAATGAGGAGTCAGCAATAGCAAATGAAATATAGCGTTAGCCATAAGTATTACACCCGATGTCGGACGGACGCGCGTCGCGTCGTGAATAAGGTTAAAACTTGCAACTAACAAATTTTAGGTATTAGAAGGAAAAATGAGGCACTGCCCGGAATCGAACCGGGGTTACAAGAAGTCAGAATTATTCAGAATCTTGAGTGATAACCGCTACACTACAGCGCCTTGATACATGTGGACAAAGTTGTGTTTATGCAGTTAAACAAAAAGAACCCACAGCTAATCTAATCAAATTTGTTTTGCCGAGTCACTTTCGATTTTGAGTTATTACACTGACGATGGCAACCTTTCTGCCTCTCTTGACCGAGGAGAACTCACCGCTGTTCAATGCTCTCGACCGCATCGGACCCATCATTTTGAACGCGCAGGCATCGGTACCGCTCCCTGAGACTCCGCAGCATCCGTACTTGCTCGTCGATCAAAGCACACCGGTTGACCCCCAGGAAATCGCATCGTGGTTAGATGCAGGAGTGGAGAAAGTCATCGTACCTTTGGCATCTGTCAAAGAGCTCGCTGGAACTATTCCCGCTGAACGCCTAATCCTGTTACTTGATGTCGCCAATGTCAGCGCGTTCTCTGATAAAATCCGCGAAAGCGTTTCGGGAGTCCTGCTCAAAACACCATCTATCGACCTTGATACCATTTCCTCAGTAGCAAAATTCTTTGCTGGCTCCACTATCTTTGTGCTCTCAAGCTCTGATTCTCTCCCAGCCCCCTCCAACATCCGTGAGCTGCAGAGCATCGGTGCTATTCTCGTCCTTCCCGAATCCCAGCTCACACTTGACGCTACATCAAACACCCAATTAAACGTCGCCGATGCATTCATGGCGCCTATCATATCCGATCGTCCAGACGGCCTATTTCCCACCGTGGTTTCATCGCAAACCGGTCACTCTCTGGGTCTGGTTTACTCTTCGAGGCAGTCCATCACGGAGAGCATCATCACAGGCAAGGGCGTCTATCAATCACGAAAACATGGTCTTTGGCGCAAGGGCGCGACGTCAGGTGCAACTCAGGACGTGGTCCAGATCCGCCTGGACTGCGATTCTGACAGCCTTGAATTCCGCGTCGTCCAACACGGTAGCGGGTTCTGCCATCTCAACCGCCAGTCTTGCTTCGCTGAAGCAAGCGGCCTCCCAGCACTCGAAAAAACCCTCCAGTCGCGCCTAGAGACTGCGCCTGAGGGATCGTACACAATGCGCCTCTTCAACGATGCCAAGCTTCTGCAGTCCAAGATCAGGGAGGAAGCCGACGAACTGTGCTCCGCGAAGACGAAGGAAGAGACGGCATTCGAAGCTGCTGACCTATTCTACTTCGCGCTGACGAAGTGCGTCACCATGGGCGTCAGCGTTGCCGACATCGAGAAGTCATTGGACAGAAAAGCGAAGAAGATTACTCGCAGGCCCGGAAACGCCAAACCTCAATGGATACAGAAAGAGACTGTTCCTGTTCCTGCTCCTGCTCCTACCAAACCCATTGCCGTGGAGAACGATGGGCCGATCAACATGCGCACCTTCGATCTGTCGACAACCGCGCCCGAGGCACGCGTACAGCTCCTCCGCCGCCCCGTCCTCAAGTCCGACGAAATGATTGAGAAGGTCAAGCCCATTGTCGAGGCCGTGCGTGTGCACGGCGACGTCGCGCTGCTCGAGCTGACCGCGAAGTTCGACAAAGTGCATATGGATTCCACGGTCATCTTCCCGCCTTTCGCGCCTGAGACGATGCAGATCGACGAGGCCGTCCGGAAGGCGATCGACATCGCGTACGCGAACATCCACAAGTTCCACGCAGCGCAAGTCAACGACGAGACGCTGACGGTTGAGACGATGCCCGGTGTCGTATGCTCACGCTTCGCGCGCCCGATCGCGCGCGTCGGGCTGTACGTGCCCGGCGGCACCGCTATCCTCCCGTCAACCGCGCTGATGCTCGGCATCCCTGCGCAGGTAGCGGGTTGCAAAGAAGTCGTGCTGGCGACGCCGCCGCGCCCAGACGGCAGCATCTCGCCCGAGGTGATGTACGTCGCGAAGCTCGTCGGCGCGTCTGCCATTCTCAAAGCCGGCGGTGCCCAGGCCGTCGCGGCGATGGCGTACGGCACGAAGACTGTCCCGAAGGTGGACAAGATCTTCGGCCCTGGTAATCAGTGGGTCACGGCGGCGAAGATGCTCGTTCAGAACGACACCGATGCACTTGTGTCCATCGACATGCCCGCCGGCCCTTCGGAAGTCCTTGTATGTTTCCTTGATAACATAACTTAAACACTCCTGACAATCTTCTGCACTGAAGGTTATTGCCGACCATACTGCCATCCCTGCCTTCGTTGCGGCCGACCTACTGTCCCAGGCCGAACACGGTGTCGATTCCCAAGTCGTGTTGCTCGCAGTTGACCTCACACCAGACCGCTTGGCTGAAATCGAGAAGGAAGTGGACGCCCAAGCCCACGCGCTGTCCAGAGTGGATATTGTCCGGCAATCCATCGCGAAGAGCATCATTGTCAAGGTTTCCACGGTCGAGGAAGCCATTTCCTTCTCAAATGACTATGCGCCAGAGCATCTCATTTTGCACCTGGAAAATGCGAGTAGCAAAGTGGCCTCCATCGATAATGCTGGTAGCGTCTTTGTTGGGCCTTATACCCCGGAAAGGTGAGTGCACCACTGTTTGAAAGGTACAATTCCCGAATTATTTCCTATAGTTGCGGTGATTATGCTTCCGGAACAAATCACACTCTCCCTACCAATGGATACGCAAGACAATTCAGTGGTGTCAACACCTTGTCATTCCAAAAGCACATCACCTCTCAAGAAATCACAGCGGATGGCCTGCAAGGCCTGGGTCCTGTGGTCGCCACATTGGCAGACTGCGAAGGTCTTCAAGCTCACGCAAATGCAGTGCGCATTCGCCTGCGTGAAAATTCACGCTAGGTCGCGTTTGAATAATCGAAGCTGATCGATTTGGCGAAGATGAATCTATTAATATCTATGACTACAGATATAGCCATGTACTTAGCAAGCGAGAGGGAAGAAAATCTAACAATAACTACTTCCAACGCTCCGGAAAAGATTCTAGTTTGTGCGGTAAAGCGCACGTTTTGCGACCTTGACGATCAGAGGGGTGTCGGGGAATGCAAGAGTCTCAAGGTTGGTAGCGTACTAATAATTAATATATGAATTAGCACTGTATATGGATCCCCACTGAAATAACGTACAGGTGTGGGAACGTCAGCACCAGTGACGCGTTCAACTGGGGCATCGAGGTAGTCAAATGCCTCGCTCTCGACAATCTGGGCGCAGATCTCGCTGCCAACACCGAAGGCAGGGAATCCACCTTCAACAATAACCAGGCTGAATACATTGACGAAATTTAGCTCAATGTGAATGACTATAGAGAGGAAATGCGCACCGGTTCGTCTTCTTAACTGATTTAATAATGGTATCGATATCGAGAGGACGGATGCTTCGCAAGTTGATGACCTCAGCCTTGATTCCCTCCTTGGCTAGGGCTTCGGCGGCTTCCATGCAGTGGCTCACCATTTTGCTGTGGCCAACAAATGTGATATCAGAACCTTCCCTCTCCACCTTGCACTTGCCGATAGGAACCAGGAAATTGTCCGACATAGCTTCCTGCGACATGGGGAAGGAGGTTCCGTACAACATCTCGTTCTCGAGGAAAACAACAGGATTGGGGTCGCGAATTGCGGACTGGGGTAAATTATTTTAGTAAACAGTGAACAGCGAGGGCGATTACGGATACACACTTTCAGCAATCCTTTGCAATCCTCTGCACTCCATGGGCTGACAACCTTCAGCCCTGGAACAGAGCCGTACCAAGCAGCATAGTCTTGAGAATGTTGGGCACCAACACCGGAAGCAGCTCCGTTAGGGCCGCGGAACACGACTGGACAAGGAACATTTCCTCCAGACATGTAGTAGGTCTTTCCAGCTGAGTTGACGATCTGGTCGATGGCCTGCATCGCAAAGTTGAAGGTCATGAACTCGCAGCTGGAAGAAATTCAGAGCAATAAATAAACTTAAAAGCACTTTGACGTACATTGGTCGAAGACCCTGGAGCGCAGCGCCAACGGCGATGCCAGCGAAACCCATCTCCGTAATGGGGGTATCTACGACTCGCTTCTCTCCGAACTTATCCATGAGCCCTTTGGTAACCTATTACACGCAACGCACTCAACAAAATTGCCATTTAATGACAAATTCTGAACCGACCTTGTAGGCACCGTTGTACCGCGCGACTTCCTCGCCGAGAATAAATACGGTCTCGTCCCGGAGCATTTCCTCCTCCATGGCTACATTAAGAGCATCACGGACAGTCATCTGCAGAAAATCAGGTCATAAAATGGATACAGTAGCATGACGCGACCAGGCTTACCGTGTTGTCATTGTCGGTTGTCGAATAGGGACGAGCACCGCGGAAGACGCGACGAGATGCTGCTGAGGAGGACGCGCGAGCGACGTTGAGAACGGGGGCCAGACGGGAGAGGGCGAGGCGGGAGACCATGGTGGTATGGGGGAGACGTCAGAGTTGGCCAAATTTTGCGCCAGGTCACTTCGTTGCACTGGGGTTTCCTTTTTCGGCGTCCGCTGGTACCATGTCAAATTCCCGGCCCGTCACTTCTACCTCGCTCTCATCCTCCCCACCATGAAGCCAGTCGTCGTTATTACAGGCGCCTCCAAGTCTGTCATACATATTGTTTTGTCCATCAGCTTAGGTTGACAAAAGCACAGAGGCATAGGTCTGGCCGTTACCCGATATTTACTTCACAGATTCAACGCCAATGTTATCGCAATCTCCCGCAGCCGTACTCCGGAATTGCAGGAGCTCAGCTCAGATGCTCTCCATATAATTGAATGCGATGTGTCAGTCGTTATCTCCAATACTTTGTGCTCTTATCTCAGTCCCGATTAATCCGGCAGAACGGACGAAAAAGCTCTATCTGCGGCCATCGACCTTGGAGCTTCGCATTATCAAGGCATTGACGGCCTCATTCTCAACGCGGGCACGCTGGACCCACTTTGTCGCATCGCAGATCAGACGCCTTTAGATTCTTGGAGAAAACATTTTGATGTGAATTTCTTTTCCCTGATAACGGCCGTTAAGGCATCTTTGCCTTATTTGCACAAAAGTGCGCTCGGCGGCAGAATTGTTTTCGTGAG